ACAGTGAACAGATCAATGGCCAAGCACTGTGTAGCTCTCTTAAATACCAACAATGGCTAGCGAGAGGGGAGCCCCGGGCTGTCCCCCTCCCTTGTCTCCCACTGTCTTTACTGGTGGTGGTCGGAGGGGAGGACAAAAGGGGAGGAGGAGCACTAATAAACTTTGCCAAAGTATATTTTTACTGAAAAGTCTAGAGGTTGCATTGAAGCACAAATCTGCTTTTATATTGATGCCATATCCTGGTTGTAATTCTAGAACTTGTCTTGACGTGTTTGCTTAAGGCTAGCTTTGGCATTCAACCATACCACCGAGATTTGCTTTTCTGTTTTGCTTTGCATTGTTCTCTGTGGTATAGGCCACACAAAGGAAATACAGGACCATAGATTATCAACTTGGAGGGGGTATTTGAATATCTATAGCACCGACATTGAATTCTTTGCCACCGGTGGGACCGTTTTTTTTCTGAAGATGATTATTTCTTGGCATGTATGAGTCTTTCCTATTTATGTCTGTGTGGGATTCATTTTCGGCATTTTTAAATTACAAATTACAAACCACGACAGAAAGAATTAATTCGTGCTTCGAAACACAGCCTGGTCACCTCCTCTGGGAGGTCTTCTTTGATTTCACTGGGCTCAGTAGGGCCGTTAGCTCTCTTTGTCATTGTGCTAGAACCGCCACAATTTGGACTCACCTGGGATTTTTTTTTTTAAAGTTTATTTATTTTGTGAGAGAGAGAAAGAGAGAGAAAACGAGTGGAGGAGGGGCGGGGGGGCGGGGACAGAAGATCCCAAGTGGGTTCTGCTTAAAATAGCCCAATGGGAGACTTGAACTCGCAAGCCTGGTCAGATCATGACCTGAGCCACAGTCAGAAGCTTAACTGAACTATCCCTGTGCCCCAGGATTTCTTTGTTAAACACTGATACCTAGCTCCCGTTCCCAGACGTTCTGGCATGTTAGTTTTGGGATGCAATCTGGACATTAGAATGTTTAAAAGCACCCTAGGTAGTTCTGATGTACAGCTAGCTTTGAGAACCGCTGTATCGTATTCTCATTGTTGGTTTACTTTCCATTAGGCCGAACCATCAAGGCTAAGGGACATTACTGGTGAAATCACCATAGCCTTAATAAAAGTGTAGAGCCATCACTATTGATTGCTTACAATGGAACATTTCCTTTCACGGCAACTGTTCAGGAAAAACGTGCTGAATTCATTCATTTATTATAAGTGATTCTGATCTGTAGAAGAAGACTTTTACCAAACTTTGTGAAATGTTTTGGGGTTGGTGAGGTCTCTCCCCTTCTCAAAAGTGTGCTTTGCCCTGAGTTTTTTGGGTATTAAATTGCCCAACTTCTCTTTCCTCTCTTTGGGAGGGTGAAATGCTGGATTCCCTTTAGGACATGTATTTAAAGTGACATATTTATGGAAATTACCACCCACTTTTGAAATTCAGGGCATAACTCTGACAGCTGAATCCAGCCCTAACAGAATTCTATTTACAACTTTCCTAGACAAGCCAGATTAGCTGTTCTACACGAGCGAGTAGAACGTGGAAACACACAAATACACACACCACACATTGCTTCTGGGGAGAGCACAGTGCAGGCTTGATCATGGTGGTGACGACACAGCTCCGTCAGCGTTGTTGAAGCAGTCGGGTGGAGGTGAAGCCATACAAATAAAATCTGGGAGTTTGGGGAGGCATTTAGGGAAGGACTCGCTCACGTTGATGTATTAGGAGTGACACAGCCTTTCTTGAAGTCAGTTTGTCAACGTGAATTAAAAACTAACAAAATATTGTGAAACAACCATACCTTTTGAGCTGGTAATTCCACTTCTGAGAATTGATCTGCCACAGGCATGTGCTGAGATTAGCTACAGAGAGGTTCATCATAATGGAATGTTTTGCAGGAAAAATATTTATGGACGAGGAAATAAACCCATGACACAGTAAGTTAGAGTCCCAAACAGAATCTACAGTAGAAGTCCACTTTAGTAAACAAGCAAACGAACCAAAATCATTTATATGCATAGAAAAGTGGTCTGGAAGGATATATGCTAAGATGATCTCTAAGGAGATGGTTTGGGGGAGATGCTCTGCAGGTTTGTTTTCTTAGATTGTTAACACAGAGCAGTATATTATTCTGTATTTTGAACAAGGACTGTTTTCTTGTTGATGTCATTATTTCTCATTTGCTTTCAGTGAAGCTGATTAGCTTAGTGTGAGGCCTGCTTTTGCATTTACAGCTTGAGAGCTGATCTGATAAGCTTTAGTGACATCTCAGATGCCAGCCTTTCTGCAGAACACTTGTCACAATAATGCCAAGCTGCCCAGAGTAAGAGCCGTCTTTGTCCCAGATACCTTGCTTCTAACCGGTAGAGACTGTGATATAGATTTATCTACTAGACCTGCGTTACTCTAATGAATTCATTCCAAGAAACTTCTGAATTATGAAAATACTATAATTATAGTTGATTCTACTCCAAAAGGATAATTAATTTTTTTTGAGGAAGCAAATGAGTATATAAAAGCTATTTGATTTGTAATCGGGTTACCTAACAACCTAGAGGGGCTCTTAGTGCTTAGAATAAAGAAAAAAAGAAAAGGGGACAAGTTCATGTATTAATTCAACAAATATTTATCGATTGCCTACCTATTGTGTGCCAGGACCACTAGGCCTGGAACACAGCTGTAAATGCTGCACGTAGGTAGGTTGGCGTCATGAAACCCATAGTTGGAAGGAGGCAGAGAGAGAATATAAAGTTGTACACAAACTTTCTAAATTTGAGTACTAGTTAGAGTTTTACAGAAAATAAAATGATGGGATGTAGCGATCAGGAGTGGGAAGGGGCTTTCTGTAGAAAAGCCATCTCTGAGGAGGTGACATTTGCTCGAAGAGCTCTCCAATTAGGGGAAATGGTTTAAGGGCAGTAGCCTTAAGTTGGTCGGAGAGCTTGGCCTCGTCAAGAGATGGAATAGAAGGCAGGTGTTTAAAAATCGATAAATGAGAATGATTGAGTTCAGTGATGTTGTTGCTAAGGGGCTGTATCGTGAAGAGCCTTGTGGAACACAGTAATGAGATTGGCTTTGATCTAACTGGTGACTCTTGGAGGGTTTTCGACAAGTAAGGGAGAGGGATTGATTTTAACTTTTTGAACAGTTATCCGACTGCGCATTTGAGGAAGGGATCCTCGGGTAGAAGCGTAGGGACAGCGAGACCCTTGAGTAGCTAAGGTGAGAGATGATGGTGGCGTGGTAGCAGGATTATAAGATATGAGGGTGGATTCACAGTGTGTGAAGGGGTAGAGTTGCCCCAGCTTCCTGAAGGCTTAGCTGTAAGACAATAACGTTGGTAGAATATCTCGTCTGGAAGATTGTGAGTAGTGGAACAACTGGAAATCTTACTCTCTGGGGAATCTGCTGTATATTCTCAAGTAATTTGGAGATTGGAAGATTCTGGAACATTATTCGATGACTTTGGGTGAGTCACTCCCTTCCTCATTCCCACCATACTTCATGAGCACTTTTGCCTGTGATAGGAAATGAGCCAGGTCTTGCTTTGGCTTTGAACATGCATCTGGAGACAAGGGATGGGAGAACCCTCGGATCTTAAATTCTATGAATTCCTATTAACCATGGAATTTGGGTGGTTAGAAAATGAGATGGGGAATTGTGGTTTTTTGTTTGTTTGTTTTTGTTTTTGAGAGAGAGCACAAGTGAATGAGGGGCAGAGAGAGGAAGAGAGAGAGAGAAGTGGGGTTCACCCGGGGCTCGTGTTTGACCCAAAGTGGGGCTTGTGTTCTTACCCAAAGCAGGGCTCACGCTCACCTGAAGTGGGACTTGCGCTCACCCGATACGGGGCTTGAAATCACAGACTGTGAGATCATGACCTGAGCTGAAGTCAGATGCTTAAGGACTGAGCCAGCCAAGCACCCCGTGTATTTTAAAATCTAGAATAAAGAGCTGTATGACTCTCCTATCATTAGGATAACCCACTGCTTCTCAAACATAAATTGCATGTTCCGCAATCTGAGGGTTTTGTTAAAATGCAGATTCTGCTTCCGTAGGCTTGAGCTGGGGCCTGATGGTATGTTTTCTAATAAGATGCTGATGATCTTCGTAGATGGTGATGCTGACTAGAAGGTGATGCTGATGCTGCTGGTCCAAGGACTAGTCTTGGAGTAGCAAAGGTCTTACCAATGGTTTTTTTTTTTTTTTTAATCTTTATTTATTTTTAAGAGACAGAGCGTGGGCAGGGGAGGGGCAGAGAGAGAGGGAGACACAAAATCAGAAGCAGGCTCCAGACTCTGAGCTGTCAGCCCAGAGCCCCATGTGGGGCCCGAACTCACAGACGGTGAGATCATGACCCGAGCCCGAGTGGGACCCTCAACCCGACTAAGCCACCGGGGCACCCCACCTATATTGTGATTAATGAAGATCCCTTAAGGCTGCACCCTGCAGGCCCTCCCCATATGCTTGCCCAGTAGCTGCTTCTGGCATTTTCTTCGTTTGTCTTAGGAAATTTACTTTTGATTAATTAAGTGAGCAACAGGGTCAAACAAGTCATTGCAGAGACTCTCCGTGAATCGGAAGCGAGGGGCAGCAGAAGAGCTGAAAGAAAGAGCTTCGGGTCTGCAGTGTGAAAATCTGACTTTGGGTCTTGGCTCTAGCGCCGCGCCGTTGATCCGGGACAAATCACTGCGCCCCTCTCAGTTCCTGGTCCTCGGGAGGGTGGCCTGGTGATAAAATCCTCTCCCGCACACTGCTGTGCTGCGCTGCAAATGAGAGAGGCCTGTGGGCTCTCCCTGTGAACCGCACAGCTCTGTGTCCCTGTCCCACTGCTGTGCCCACGGTGACAGGTGTTCTTGTGGGCCTATCCTTGCTCGGGTTGTTGCTGAACTTGGGGCCGCGGCCGGGGATTTCACTGGTGAGAAAGAACTGAAAGAACTGACAGATTATCTTTTTTTCTCCCCACCCCCCACCCCCTCTGCACCACAGCGATTGAAACGCAAAGCACGAGCTCCGAGGAACTGGTCCCCAGCCCTCCGTCTCCGCTTCCTCCCCCTCGTGTGTACAAGCCCTGCTTCGTCTGCCAGGACAAATCATCCGGGTACCACTATGGGGTCAGCGCCTGCGAGGGCTGCAAGGTGAGTACCCACAGGCCTCTGCGCCCAGTGTGCGCTCACTCTCCACGTGCTCGGGCTGGGGGCGTGACCTGCTTGGCCCTGGGCAATGTCACCCCCAGTGTGGCGCGCTGCGTTTATTTGATGGTTTCATTCCTTCCTTGTGTCTCATGAGTTGAAAATTCAGAAACTCCTGCAAATGACTGACGGGGGCCAAATGTGCTAGGGCCCTTAAAATAACATAACAGGTCTTTTCAGGTAACAAGAGCTTTTTGAAGGAGTCCAGAAAAGCATCACCCCGTTTCTCTTTAGAACATGCCGTCTGCTGTCTTTGTAGTTTTATTTTATTTTTAAATATGACTGACAGTCCACTAAATCAACTTGCTCAGAATCCAAGGTTAGAGATTGGGATTTATCTTCTGGCTGTTTCCTCAGCCCTGTGGCCTTTGAATTACAGTTTGATTTTCGGCCTGTAGGGACTTGCTACTGTGTGTGTGTCATAAATTCAGGAGAGCTGGATTTAAAATTCCAGCCTACCGAGTAGGGGAGGCTGAACATGTGTCAGAGAGGATATGGCTGCTTTGAATCAAGTTAGACAATCGCTATGGAGTCCAACAGTCTTAATTGAATGAAAGAGCTTATTTTTTTTTTTGAGAGAGAGAGAGAGAAAAGAAACAAAGAATGACTTCATAGGCAAATCCAACTCATCCACAGGCCATTTTTCAAAGGAACTATGGCTGTCTCGAGCTGGCCCTTCCCCCGATATACAGCTTCTTTATGTTCTCTAGGATGGTTGGTCAGATCCGTTCTTCATATGTCTACATTGGATGATACGTTGTAATTATAAACACGTTGGAATAATATTACAGGTGCTCCCATCGGGTGCTCGGTGGCATTTTGTACTTGGTTTGTCAGAGTTAGTTATTATTTGTTTGTACTGGGTAGGCCCTGTCGTGTAACAAACCATCCTATAGCTGAATGAATGGCTTAAAACAACAAGCTTTTATTTGGCTTATGGTTCTGTAGGTCAGCCCTGCAGGCCAGGTTCCTCTGGGTGGTTCATCTGCTCCCAGCTATGCTCCACTGTGCGTTCCTGGTCAGCTGCAGGTTCGCCAGTTGGCTGTTCTTCTGGGGGTTGCCGAAGGCTCCTGTTGGCTGGGAACTTTGGTCTTTCCCCCATGTGGTCTCTCATGCCTGTAGGGCTAGTACTGGCTTATTTGCACAGGCAGGATTCTGGAAGGACACTCAAGGTCTCCAGAGGCCTAGGCTCAGATGTGACATGCTGTCACTTGTGACACATTCTGTTGGTGAAAGTAAGTCGTAAGGCCAGTGATGCTCAGCTGGTAGGAACATAAACTCAACTTTCTTTCTTTTTTAGCATTTACTCGTTTTTGAGAGACAGAGAGCATGAGTGGGGGAGGGGCGGAGAGAGAGAGAGAGAGAGAAAGAGAGAGAGAGAATCCAAAGCAGGCTTCAGGCTCTGAGCCGTCAGCACAGAGCCCAACTTGGGGCTCCAACTCATGGACCGGGAGATCATGACCTGAGTTGAAGTCAGACGCTTAACCGACTGAGCCACCCAGGTGCCCAATGTAAACTCAACTTTCTAAGGCAAGAAGCTGGAAAGTCACGTTATTAGAGGCAGGAATACAGGGTAAGGAGAAATGGAGTCAGGTTTGCATGCAGTCTACCGCCCTGAATGCCTTATTGTCTGTGACACAAAGTGGATAGGGGCCCTAGCTTGCCTGCACAGTAGCTCACACACAGTGTGGCATATAGTGGGTGCTTAAAGATCTCGGTTGAACAAACACATAAATGTCACTCAGCCCCTGAAAGAAATTATGTGAGGTTTCCCTTCTTTTCAAGTCCTTTGAAAAAACATGTATCGTTTTACTGAGTGAGGCTAGTTGCGGGGAATCCACGAAGACCTAGGAACATCTCTCTACCTCTGGCATTGTGTTGGTTGCTTTAAAGGCGTGTCCTTTCCTCCAGTAGCTTCGGATAAGGTGGTCAGGCAAGTTCACACAGCAGCCAATTGGCAGCTGGGTGAAAAGTGAAACATTTGCGAGTCCAGTGGTCGCTTTTATTGTTGGTTGCTAGCTGACCCCGCTTCGCCTTGTCCTGAGATTTGGGACATCTGTGGCAGAACACCAGTTCACTCTGTCCACTGGTTTGGCAATACGTAAATAAACCCTTTCCTAACGACCGTTTGAAAGTTAGAAGGCACTCCTTTATTTAAAAAAAAAAAAATGTTAAGTCATGTCCTGTCCAGAAATCTGAATGCGGTATGTTGTAACCCAGCTTACCTGCTCCTGTTATGTCCTGGGAAAAGAAATGATCCAGCGTCTGTCTTCCCCAGCAGATTTCAGGCCCTACACATTAACCTCTTTCACAATCCGCACGGTACACGCTGTTTTCATCAGCTCTTAGTCAGCTAATTCCCCAACCTCTTGTCGTAATTTTGGATTCTGACTCTTTTTAGGAAAAACCCCATCAAAAACAAAACCTGGACCAGCGCAGGCAACTTTGATAAACTTGGTTCCGCTGTTGAGAGTGCTATTATGGCACAGCTTTTTCACAGAGTGAAAGCCCAAGAAGGCTGGGCAGCCACTCGTTGAATTTGAGGGGATTTGCCTGGTGGGTTTTGTCGAGCTCTGAAAACGCGGGCTGCCTTTCCCCTAGGTGTCGAGAAAGACTGTGTTTTGGGGCACCTGCGTGGCTCATTCGGTTAAGCGGCCGACTTCGCTCAGGTCGTGATCTCGTGGTCCGTGAGTTCGAGCCCCGCGTCGGGCTCTGTGCTGACAGCTCAGAGCCT